AGAAGTTGGAGGTTGCTGTGAGCTGTGATGCCATAGCACTCTACCCAGGGCGATAGCTTGAGGCTCTGTCTCAAAAAAAAAATAAATAAAAAACAAAAACTGTTAGTACATGCAAAAAATATATATAAATTTATTTTATATTACAGAGAGGGAAGGGGGAGAAGAGATGAGAGAGAGAGAGGAGTGAGCAGAGCCAGAAAATGGACTGGCCTCCCAAAGAAAGGAAGAATGCCAGCCAGTATCAGTATGTTAATAACAAAATAAAACATTATCTTTAGAATTTTTAAGTCCTTTTAAAAATTTATTTATCAAATCAGGTGTAGTGACTCATGCCTGTAATCCTAGCACTGGGAGGTTGAGACAGGTGGATTTCCTGAGCTCAGGAGTTTGAGACCAACCTGAGCAAGAGTGTTGCTGCTATCTTTAAAAATAGCCGGGCGTTTTGGCGGGTACCTGTAGTCCCAGTTGCTTAGGAGGCTGAGGCAAGAGATCACTTGAGCCCAAGAGATTGAATTTGCTGTGAGCTATGTGACGCTATGACAGTCTACTGAGGGCGACAAGGTGAGACTGTGTCTCAAAAAAAATAAAAAAATCAACTTCTCAAGGCTGTGCTTGGTGACTTATGTCTGTAAGCCTAGCACTCTAGGAGGCTGAGGCAGGTGGCTTGTTTGAGCTTAGGTGATGGAGACCAGCCCAAGCAACAGTGAGACTCACTACCAAAAGTAGAAGGGCATCCTTATTACTGGCTGAAAAGAGTCTGGCTGCCTGTCACTGTCAGCCAGTATTCAGAGATGGGGATAGATCCAACAAACTATTTGTCAGAAGGCCAGCGATTCTAGAGAACAGTGAGAGTAGCCTCTCCAAGACTGTTCTTCCATTTCTAAAATCACAGTTTTCTTAACCCTAAGAGTTGAAGGTTGCTGTGAGCTGTGATGGCACTCTACTGAGGGCAACATAGTGAGACTATCTCAAAAAACAAAAATAAAAATCACAGTTTTATACATAAAAGTTGAAAGCAAGAACTGTACTTTTATTTTAAACAAGAGTATCTTAAACTTATCTTAAAACAGCAGTAATTGCCACAACCCATTACCCATAATAAATAATAATTGATATTACCCATGACTCAAAACAACATTTCTATTTCAAAAGTTAATCTCCTAAATAAATTACCCTAACCTACTCAAAATACAGGCTTTCAGGTTAAAACTGAGTTTACAAAACAAGAATGAGAGTGAAGGTCACTTAGGACCTAAACCAACCAGAAGAGCTGTGTTATGTTGGCCCTAGCCTGACTGACTCCGTCTTACTCGCTCATTGAGGAAGGTGCCTGTTATCCTAGCTACTGGGGAGGGTGAGGCAAGAGGATTGCCTGAGCCTAAGAGATTGAGGTTGCTGTGAGCTATGATGATGCCAGGGCAACAGAGTGAGACTTTTGTCTTGTAACAACACAAAATTAACTTTTCATTTTGTTAACCTTCTGTGTTTTTAAAATCTAAGGAAGAATAATTTAGGCTCAGTGCCTGTAGCACAGTGGTTACAGTGCTAGCCATATATACCGAGGCTGGCAGGTTCGAGCTCAGCCTGGGACAGCTCAACAACAGTGACAATTGCAACAAAAAATAGCCGGGCTTTGTGGCAGGCGCTTGTAGTCCCTGCTACTTGGAAGGCTGAAATAACAGAATCGCTTGAGCCCAAGAGTTGGAGGTTGCTGTGAGCAGTAATGCCATGGCACTCTACTGAGGGCAACATAATGAGACTCTGTCTCAAAGAAAAAGAAAGAATAATTTAAAGCTTCCTAATAAATAGGGCAGTGCCTGTGGCTCAAAGGAGTAAGGCACTGGCCCCATATGCTGGAGGTGGTGGGTTCAAACCCAGCCTCAGCCAAAAACTGCAAAGAAAAAAGAAATATTTAAGGTAGTGGATATTTCATTTATCCTGACATAATTATATGAATGTGTCAGATTATAACATATATCCCTCAAATATATACATCTAAGAAGTCAGCCTTGGCTTGGCACCTGTGGCTCAACCGGCTAAGGTGCCGGCCACATACACCTGGCAGGTTCGAATCCAGCCTAGGCCTGCCAAAGAACAATGATGGCTGCAACCAAAAAATAGCCAGGCGTTGTGGTGGATGCCTGTAGTCCCAGCTACTTGGGAGGTGGAGGCAAGAGAATTGCTTGAGCCAGGAGTTGGAGGTTGCTGTGAACTGTGATGCCACAACACTACCAGGGTGACAGCTTGAGGCTCTGTCTCAAAAAAAAAAAAAAGGTCAGCCTTGAGATTTTGAAATTTGCAAAAAAAAATTAAATGAAAAATTCACTACTGGTTTGGTCCCTGTAGCACAATGTTTATGGCATCAGCCACATACACCGAGGGTGGCAGGTTTGAACCCAGCTGGGCCAACTGAACAAAAAAATAGTTGGGCATTGTGGTGAGCACCTGTAGTCCTAGCTACTTGGGAGGCTGAGGCAAGAGAATCGCTTAGGCCAAAGAGTTAGAGGTTGCTGTGAGCTGTGATGCCACAGCATTCTATTGAGGGTGACATAGTGAGATTCTCTCTCAAAAAAAAAAAAAAATTTACTACTGAAGCTCAAAGAGAGAAGACTCAATTTACTAGGTCCAGATATGAAAGAGTTAATGTTAGTAGCATTTTAAAATAAAAAACAAAAAAGGAATATAAAGGAGTACCATAAATAATTATTTGTCAATGAATTATAAAACTTTGAAAAAACGAAAAAAATTAAAAAGGAGACAAACTATAGAAACAAAGAAGAAATAAATAATTTGAATAAACATATAACAAGGGAAGAGACTGAAATAGTATACAAATTTAACCCATATAGAAATGCTCCAAGCTCCAATAGAGGTCTTTGCAACTAAATTCTACCAATTTATTTTTGGGACAGATTCTTACTCTGTCACCCTGGGTAGAGTGTCGGGGCACCATTGTAGCTCACAGCAACGTCCTACCTGGGTTCAAGTGATCCTCTTGCCTCCCAAGTAGCTGGGACTATAGGCACCTGCCGCAATGTCTGGATAGTTTTTTTTATTTTAGAGACAGGGTCTTTCTCTTGCTTGGGCTGGTCTTGAACTGGTTCTTTTTTTTGTTTGTTTTGTTTTTTATTGAGACAGAATCTCACTTTGTCACCCTTGGTAGAGTGCTGTGGTGTCATATCTCAGAGCAACCTCCAATTCTTGTGTTCAAGCGATTCTCTTGCCTCACCCTCCCTGGTAAATGGGATTACAGGTGCCTGCCACAATGCCTGGCTATTGTTTTGTGCATAGCTATATTCTTTTTTGTGTAGCAGGCCCGGGCCAGGTTGGAATCCACTAGCCCTGGAGCAGGTGGCCAGTCCTCTAACCACTGAGATATGGGCACCCAGCCTAGGTTTTCTAATTGTCTTAAGTTTGGGGCAAAATTTTAAGAGTTTTGAAATAATCTTCTTGTTTTGCTTTTATGGGTCATGATTCCAGTTGAATCAATTTCTTGGTATGGGCTGCTGGTCTGGGTGGGTTAAATAATCCATTGGAATGTGGGGCCTGATATCTTGGAAACTCTATAGAGTTCCAGGATGTAATGTTGTCAAAGAAAAGTTAAGAATCTTTACAACGTGGCTGGGTGCGGTGGCTCACACCTGTAATCTTACCACTCTGGGAGGCCAACGTGGGTGGATTGCTTGAGCTCAGCAGTTTGAGGCCAGCCTGAGGAAGAATGAGACCGACTATACTAAAAATAAAAAAAGCTAGCCAGGCATCTTGGCTAGTGCCTGTAGTTCCAGCTACTTGGGAGGCTAAGACAGGAGGATTGCTTGAGCCCACGAGTTTGAGGTTGCTGTGAGCTAAGATAATGCCATGGCATTCTACTCAGGGTGACAGAGTGAGACTTTGTCTCAAAAAAAAAATTATTCACTTTGTTAAAATTCTCTCTAACAAATTTTCCACTGTAAAATTGATTATTTTTCTTTTAATTATTAATAGGTACCTTGTGAAGATTTACCAGCTGATGTGCATAAACCATCATAGTTCATCTGGAAGGTTCTTTTCTTTTTAGATGCCCTTTGCATATAGCTTGCTTTAGAAAATCAGGGCTCTTGGCTCGGCGCCTGTGGCTCAGGTGGCTAAGGTGCCAGCCACATACACCTAAGGTGGCAGATTCGAATCCCCAGCCCTGGCCTGCCAAACAACAATGATGGCTGCAACCAAAAAATGACCAGGCGTTGTGGCGGGCGCCTGTGGTCCCAGCTACTTGGGAGGCTGAGGCAGGAGACTCGCTTGAGCCCAGGAGTTGGAGGTTGCTGTGAGCATGATGCCATGGCACTCTACCCAGGGGGATAGCTTGAGGCTCTGTCTCAAAAAAAAGAAAATCAGGGCTCTTATTTTGTTTTGTTCTTATTTTATTTTTTTATTTTATGATAAAGTCTCATCTATCACCCTGGGTAGATTGCGTGGCATCATAGCCTCAAACTCTTGGGCTCAAGCGATCCTCTTGCCTCAGCCTCTAGAGTAGCTGGAACTACAGGCACCTGCTACAACCCCTGGCTGTTTTTTGTTTGTTTGTTTGTTTTTAGAGACAGGATCTTGCTCTTGCTCAGGCTGGTCTCCAACTCTTTAGCTCAAGCAATCCACCCTTCTGGGCCTCCCAGAGTGCTAGGATTATAGGAATGAGCCACCGCACCTGGCCTTGAGAGGCACATTTTAATTCAGCATTTCTTTTCCATTTGAAATATGAATATGACTAATGTAAATGTCCATGTTGTTACCTTGAATTTTATACTGTATCACCTAGAAAACAGTAATATCCGTCTACAATGGTTTTGAGCTCCTTATGTCATCATCTTTCCTCAGAGGATATTTATGTGTTAAAGATTATCTTTTCAAATATTATCAGTGACTCATCAGAGTAAGAACCAGTACTCTTCCCTTTTTTATTCCACCTGGAGTCACATTAAGGATTTCTTCTACGGACACTTTGTAAATATGTGTTCCACTTTTAGGGCCTGTTGACATTTGAGGATGTGACCATAGAATTTTCTCCAGAAGAGTGGGCATGCCTGGACCCTGCTCAGAAGAATTTGTATTGCAATGTGATGTTAGAGAACTACAGCAACCTGGTCTCCCTAGGTGAGGATAACTTCAATTTGCAATTCCTATTCCACACTAAGGATTTCATATCTTTCTTTTGTAGAATTTTTTTTGGAGTTTCTGCTTTATATGTATGAGCTTCAGGTCCTTGTTTCCGAGGAAAACTTGGGGTTTCGTTGATATAGAAAAAAATCCTCAAGATGGTTTATCTTGACATTAATCTTACCCTTTCTTTAGCTGATCTGTATCCTTTTCTCTAGATTAGTGGTAATTTCAGAAATTTAGTGGCATAAAGTATTACTATCCATACCTTAAAATTCAGTTTTATACAATACTAGTGAATTTTTTTTTTTTTTTTTAGAGACAGAGTCTCACTTTATTGCCCTCAGTAGAGTGCTGTGGCATCACAGCTCACAGCAACCTCCAACTCCTGGGCTTAGGCAATTCTCTTGTCTCAGCCTCCCAAGTAGGTGGGACCACAGGTGCCCGCCAGAATGTCAAGCTGTTTTTTTGTTGCAGTTTGGCTGGGGCCGAGTTCAAACCTGCTACCCTTCGTATATGGGGCCAACATCCTACCCACTGAGCCACAGGTGCTGCCCAGTATTAATGAATTTTTAATTCACTGTTACTGGGTAAGAGACCTAAAGACTCACAAATTTTAAATACTTTCTCCATATTCCAAAGTTCCTGTCAGGAAATGATACTTTTTGAGTAATTTTGTAAAATTTTCATTTCTTTTTTTTCTTTTTTTTTGAGACAGAGTCTCACTTTTTTTTTGAGACAGAGTGCTATGGTGTCACAGCTCACAGCAACCTCAAACTCGTGGGTTTAAGCGATTCTCTTGCCTCAGCCTCCCAAGTAGCTGGGACTACAGGTGCCCGCCACAATGCCCGGCTATTTTTTTGTTGTTGTTGTCATTGTTTAGCAGGCCTGGGCTGGTTCGAACCCAGCAGCCCCAGTGCGTGTGGCCGGTGCCCTAACCACTGAGCTATGGGCATGGAGCCTAAAATTTTCTTTAACATTCTGTCTTCCTATCTGAGCATAGTACTAGGTTGGTCATTGGAGCATCCCAGCAAGAGTCATGTTACTTTTTTTCTGATAAGATAGGTCTTCCTATGGCTAAGCCAGACCTTATCATCTGTCTGGAGCAAAGGAAAGAGCCCTGGAATATGAAGAGACATGAGATGGTAACAGAGCACACAGGTAAGTGGGGAGTGCATGAAACAGATGACACAAGTGAGAGCCAAAGGTCAAGGAGGAAGCCAGACCTTAAAATGTGGTTTGGAGGCTCGGTTTCTGTAGCATAGGGGTTACGGTGCCAGTCACATACACTGAAGGTGGTGTGTTCCAGCCTGCCCTGGGCCAGCTAACCAACATTGACAACTGCCACAAAAAAAAGGCAGGCGTTCTGGTGGGCACCTGTGGTCCCAGTTGCTTGGGAGGCTGAGGCAAGAGAATTGCTTGAACCCAAGAGTTTAAGGTTGCTGTGAGCTGTGACGCCATGGCACTCTACCAAGGGTGACATGGTGAGACTCTGTCTCAAAAAAAAAAAAAAAATGTGGTTTGGAAAACTGTCTTAATGGAAATGATTTCTGAGAAGTCTGGTTTCTTCTTCCAAGTCTCACATGTGGGCGTTTCTGTCCATTGTTCCTAAGTTATCTAAAGACTTCCTCCTTTGAGGTTGCAATGAAAACCAAAGTCTTGTTCATGGCTTACAAAGACTGCAGAATCTGCCTGCTTTTCCTTTGTTGTTCAGGACTTGGGAATATCCATGTATTTTCTTTTTAATTTCAGGGTAATATGAATATACAAACAATTAGGATATAGCATTTGTGTTTTTAGTTTGGGTCCCTATTGTAGTTGTGCCACACACCCAGCAGGTGTGCTATAGACCCTTATATGGTGCCCATTAGGGGAAGGATACCAATTTTCCTCCCCTCTCCCTGTTTTCTCCTCTTGCCCCATCTTGAATTAAATTGAGTTTTTCTCTGTGTGGGCTAGTATTAGTTCATCTACTGGCTTTATGTTAGTATTCCGTATATTGGATTCTCTGTGTATTTTTTGATGAACTCTATGTTACACTATTTTTTAATGTCCCTTTCTGCATTGTATCAGAAATTTGTGAGTATAGTGATGATACTTGCATTTGACTCAGAAATCCCAGAAACACCAAAAGCTGATGTTGTATGTTTTCTGCTTAATGGTTTCCTCTCCTATGGAACTATTAAATATGATTCTACAGAAATTCAGACTCAGTAATATTATCAGAACACTAAGTATCTCCCTCAATGCAATGAAATCTAATGTTATTTTACTTTAAAATTCTGTTTCTAGCATTAGCTGTGTTTAATAATTTAAATTCTGTATACCCAGATTCCTCAACTTTAGTATAGTTTAAGGTATCTGCTCCCCACATTTCCTTTTTTTTTTTTTTTTTTTTTTGAGAAAGAGTCTCAGTTTGTTGCCCTTGGTAGAGTGCTGTGGCATCATAGCTTACAACTTCAATCTCTTGGGCTTAAGCAATTCTCTTCCCTTAGCCTGCTGAGTAGCTGGGACTACAGGTACTTGCCACAATGCCTGGCTGCTTTTTAGAGACGGGGTCTTACTCTTGCTCGGGCTGGTCTTGAACTCTTGAACTCAAGCAATCCACCTGCCTTGGCCTCCCAAAGTTCTAGGATTAAAGGTGTGAGCCCTGCACCTGACCTTTATGCCTATTTTTCAATCAGTTATTATACTTATTATTATTTTGCTTTTGATTTGTATGTTTCTCATATAATTTGGGTATTAACCTCATAAGATATATACCTGCAAATATTTTCTCCTATACTATGAATATTTTTATTTCATTGTTATGCAGAAGCTTTTTAGTTTGATTCAGTACAACTTATTTATATTTGCTTTTGTTTTTACCTGTTGGTATAAAATCAAAAAAAAAATCCCCAAAATACTATTACCACTGTCAATATCAAGGTTTTTCATGTTTTCCTTTAAGATTTTTAAAGATTTTATGTCTTACACAAGTCAACTTTGCTATTCTAAAATGTCAAGCTCAGATATCTCATTAAATGTTAAATTATAATAAACATAAAAATACATATAAATAAGTTTTAAAAAGAATTTAAGCAATTTAATTGTTATCTTTTTATTAAAAATTATAATAAATTGTCTTGTTTTATTTTTTGGCCATGATAGTGCATCTTGTTTGTGTTAATAATCAAAAAAAAGGTATATATATTTTTTTACTCTTTATTTTGATCAACATAATTTAAGCATGCCCCTGAAGTTTAACTATAGGGGCAAGTGTGCTGTGAGGTAAAAAGGGTTAAAAAACACTGGGCTAGGGATTTAACAGAGTTTTACAACCTCCTCTTTGGATCCCAGTTCTCTCATAAAAGCAGTTTTTTTTGTTGTTGTTGCTGTTGTTAGTTTTTTTTGAGACAGAGTCTCACTTTGTCACCCTCAGTAGTGCTGTGGTGTCACAGCTCACAGCAACCTCACACTCTTGGGCTCAAGCAATTCTCTTGTCTCAGCCTTCCAAGTAACTGGCACTACAGGCACCCACCGCAATGCCTGGCTATTTTTGGTTTTGTTCTTGCAGTTGTCATTGTTGCTTAGCTGGCCCTGACCAGGTTTGAACCCACCAGCCTTAGTGTATGTGGCTGGCACCCTACCCACTGAGCTATGGTCACCGCCCATAAAAGCTGTTTTTTTTTTTTTGATGGGGGTTTCATTATATCACTGAGGCTAGTATCAAACAACTGGACTGAAGTGATCCTGTCACCTCAGCGTCTTAGTAGCTGGCATTACAGGTGTGAGCCACTGTGTTGGGCTGTCATAAAGGCACTTTTTTTTTTTTTGAGACAGTGTCTCATTTGTGTCACCCTCAGTAGAGTACTGTGGTGTCACAGCTCACAGCAACTTCCAACTCTTAGCCTTAGGCAATTCTCTTGCCTTAGCCTTTCGAGTAGCTAGGACTACAGGTGCCCACCACCTGTAGTTGTCAGTGCTGTTTAAGCTGTCCAGGGCTGGGTTTGAACCCGCCACTCTTGGTATATGGGGCCAGCTGAGCCACAGGTGCCACCCCTCTTTATTCAATGTATTTTGTTGATGAAGCATAGTCCAAGAATATTTGCATAATTTTCTGAAAATGAAGGACTAACTGCCACTTTATTATTATTTTTTAAATTCTTGTAGCTATTTTATTCTTTTGTCTCTTCTGTCTTCTTCCTTTGTGACTCACTGATTTTTGTAGTAACGTATTTTTACTCCTTTATTATTTTTGTTATTATCATGGCAATTATACAAGACTTCTTATAGTTACAACAATATATTTTAAACTGGTAACAAACTGTTGCCCTCGGTAGAGTCCTGGGGTGCCGTAGTTCACAGCAACCTCAAGCTCTTGTGCTCATGCTATTCTCTTGCCTCAGCCTCTGGAGTAGCTGGGACTACAGGCTCCTGCCACAACACCCAGCTATTTTTAGAGACGAGGTCTTGTTCTTGTTCAGGCCTTCTCAAACTCCAGAGCTGAGGTGATCTACTGGCCTTGGCCTCCCAAAGTGCTAGGATTACAGGCATGAGCCATCTCACCTGGCCTGTTTTCATATTTTGGACCATGATTAAAACTGTTTCCTGCATCATTATAATGCTGCTAAGTTTTATTTAGACGTATTTATATGTCTTTCCCAGAGAGTTACTTGTTTTCATATGGTTTTGTGTTGTTTTCTATCATCTTTTCAAAGAAAGAGCTTTGTTTAGAATTTCTTGTGGGGCAGATCTACTGGGATAAACATTTTCAGCATCTAGTTACCTTGATAGTCTTTAATGTTTTTCATTTAGAACTGCAGTTTTGCTGGATATAGTGTTCTGGTTTGAAATTTTTGTTCTTTTAAGATTTGACTATATCGGCTCGGCGCCTATAGCTCAACCGGCTAAGG